TGGCTTTCGAGCAAGGGAACCTTTACCTTTACCTTTAAATTAGTTTGCTCTGGAGCCATCCTTCCTGAGCTAAGACAAAAATGTGTGAGCTGGAGGCTAAAAAACTGTGAGCTAGCTCACACTAACTCAGCTTAGAGGGAACACTGATCACAACTGACTATTATGCGCAAGAGAACAAAGTTCAAGTCCAACAAAGTTTAACTCTGGGTATGAGCTTTCATGTATATGCGCACTTCTTCAGATACAGTGAAACAAGATGTCCTCAACCATTACGTATAGATATAGTGGGTGGGGGTTAGTTGCCAGGAAGGGCAAGGTAGAGCCAAGGTGCATAAGTAACTGGGCGAGAAGTATAGCTCAGATTGGATCAAAGCAGTTGGTAAGACCTGTGAATGGCAGCAACTTAGCATACAAATACAATTCACAAACAGATGTGAGAAGTAAGTTGGGAGTCCAGTGTGGGAAGGGACACATACAGATGTGCACATGCAGAACTTCCAGGTCAGACCACATAGTTCCTCCCCTCCCCAGCAACTGGGGTTCCGGGGTATGCTTCGAGGGGGGCAGTCAAGTCGCAGCCCACTTATGGTGACCCCCTCCTGGGGTTTTCGAGGCAAAAGACCTTCAGACTGCACTTCCTCAGTCGTCTCCTATCCAAAGACTAACCTGGGCCAACTCTGCTCAGTTTTCAAGATCTGACAAGATTGGGCTAGCCTGGGCTATACCTACCCTTGGCTATGCTCTCTAGTTAGTAGGAAACAACCCTTACACCAGACGCGATTTTTTCCCTACCCCTTCAAGACCGAGTATTTTCCCCGTCTAGGAACAGCTTAGTTTAATGTGAAAGTACATCCCCTCTGGAAGCAAGGAGGGAAGCCACTTCAGAGAGCCAGCAAGATCAGTTGCAGCAGTAGCAACAGTAAAGGGGAAGGAGGGATTTCTGCCCATGTGCAAAGTGCTTTTCCCCCTCCGCCACCTTTGCACAATATCTCAATCATTAACTCCAACCGCACACGACCTTGCAAGTCAGTAGAAGCCCGGGGCGCTCTAGGTCAAAAGCTGAGGGTCCAAGAGAACCCCGGCACTTATTTTATGCCCCCCCCCTTCCCTAAAGTAGTTCACCCAAGCAGGACCCCCAGCCCTTTGGGGGAAGGTGGGGGGAGCCGCTCACCTGTCGGGTACAAGAAAAGCCCCACCGTGATCCCCCAGCTGAGCCCCGTGTGCGCGGCCCGCACCAGGCACCCGCTGCCCCACGGCGCCCCCAGCCGCATCCCCGCCGCCGCCGCCAACCACGCCCGCCCCGTCCCCGCCGAGCTCGCCAGAGGCGGAAGTAGCCAAGCTCCTCCCCCTGCTCCGGATTGGACGGGAGGGGTTGCCGTGACGAAAGGGGCGTGTCTCCTCAGCGGCCCCGCGCTTTGATTCGCGGGGGGGAAACGTCGCAGCGATCGATCGCGAGGCCAGGCGGGGCTGTTGAGGCAACATCAGAGAATCGGGGACGACGGGTTTGAAATGGGGCGTACCCGGCTAGAGGAGGGGAACACGTTCAGAGTCCCGTGGTACCTTTCAGACCAACAAAGGTTTATTCAAGGTGTGAGCTTTCGTGTGCAAGGCTATGCTCACACCTTGAATAAAGGTAAAGGTTCCCTTGCTCGAAAGCCAGTCGACTCTGACTCTAGGGTTGCGGTGCTCATCTCCGTTTCAAAGCCGAAGAGCCAGCGCTGTCCGAAGACGTTTCCGTGGTCATGTGGCCGGCATGACTAGACACCAAGGAGCACGGAACGCTGTGACCTTCCCACTGAAGTGGTCCCTATTTTCTACTTGCAATGTCTTGCTTTCGAACCGCTAGGTTGGCAGGAGACCTTGAATAAACCTGGTCTTAAAAGGTGCCACGGAACTCGACAGGGCTGCCCACCTGGAACTAGCCAGAGGGTTAACCACCAGAGGTCCTCTTTTTGGGGTGTCCATCCTCTTTGGGGCTCTTTCTAAAACACGGATGGAAACGTCCTCTTTTTGGGTTGGAAGGTTAGGAATAGTCCTAGTGAGTAGCCGTCATCACAGCTTTCAATAGGAGGGGTGTGTTTAAAAGTGAGATTTGTCACAGTGAAGGAGTCAGTCGGGAAAGATATCCTCTTTTTGCTTTTCAAAATGTGGAACCCCTAAGCTGAAGGGAAAGTAGGCTCATAATGAAAATGTAATCATATAGAATCACATAGCAGCGATCTAGCTCTGTTCAGCATTTCTGAACACAAGCTTTGATGGCTAATGCTAAGGCGTGTGTGTAGGATCCTCCAGGATCATCTAAATGTCTTCCTTGTTATGGGGCAAATTCTTTTTAGGTTTTCCCAGTAGTAGTAGTTATCCTGTAAGCTCATTTCTCAACATTGCACAATGTGACTTATAAAGGTATAGGCATCAGAAGAGCACTTCAGGTGTTCAGCTGCAAGCCACTAAAGGCAAGGGAGGAAATTACAAGCTGTAAGCACAACAATGGGAAATCTTTGCTGCGTTCCTTTCCTTCTCCCCATCATTTTTTCCAAAGTTGGGACAATTGTTTCTCAGCTTCGTTCATGGAACCCACATCAACTGAAAGCCACAGGGGTGCTGTCCCTCCTTTCCCCCCTCCATGCTGCAGCCCACGCTGGGCTGGATGGAACCGTGGGACAGATGCATGGCAGCGTCTTCCACCACTGGAGCACTGGTCTTCATATAGATGCAGATTCTTTTCCTCCTTGGTGCTTTGGTTAGTAGAGCACTTTACAAAACCTTCTTTCCTGCCTTTTCTGATGTAAAAATGTCAAGGATATTGTAATGATTCCATGTTTTGGTTTGTGTGTTCCTTTAAATGTTTAGTTTCACTGCAGTGCTGAAAGAAGAGTGACAGAGGGAGATGAGAGTGTATTTTGATTGGCTGATGACAGAATGTGGGAGGAGATGTTCTGAGGATTCTGTGATATGAGTGGGACAAGTATGGAAGAGTTTCGAAGAGAGTCTGTGTGACTCAGAGTTATGAAGGATTCTGTGTGTAAAGTTTGAAGAGTGGGCATAGTCTGTGTGATTATGGAATTTTGAGTTTAAATCTGTGTGAATAAAACCGACAGTTTAATCTGTGTGACTAAGAGAATTGATTCTATTCAGTGTGAAAACAAAGAGACTAGCCTGTATATATGAGATATAGAGATTATACTGAATGTATAAGCTTGTCAGAGTGGAGTTTGGGAGACTGTTTGTAGCACCAAGCTTTGCCAGTTATATTTACAAGTCCCTTTCTTCAGCAACTGTTCTTTATTAAATAAATTAATTTTTGTTTAAACTTATCCCAGAAATCAGTACAGTACTTCCTCAGGGCCACATAGTCCTCTGAAGTGCCCAGACACAGGGTCATACTACCAAAAGAGAGAGATTTGGAATTTTTAATTCCTGGTGGCAGCAGAAAACTACCAAGTTTATATACACAGAGAGTGTTTAAAAGTAAAACCGTCTCCCCAATAAACAAGCACGCCACAGGGAGGATTTGGGGATTGGTATTTGCGGGGGGGGGGAGCAGTGGAAGCCTGAGGAGCATAGTCAGGCTGGGGGCAAGTGAATCCACTGCCCCCATCTGGAGCACTGGTTTGGCTCACTTTGGAATATTATTTTAAACAAACAGGGTTTTTAACTTCTGAAATGGGACAGTCCTTGTTTAAAGATCTTGCTTTTTGAACAAGGGCATTTTTTAAAGCAGTGCCCTCCACCCAAAAGGGCTAGTCGAGCCAGTCTGGTGTAATGGTTGGGCATCTGACTAGGATCGGAGAGACCCAAGTTGGAGTCCCCAGGCAGCCATGGAAGCTTCCCTGGGTAGCCTGGGCCAGTCACACCTTCTCAGCCTAATCTCCCTCACAGGGTTGTTGTAAGGCTAAAATGGAGGTGAGGAGGGCAACTTTAGCCACTTTGGACCCCACTGGGTAGAAAGGCAAAATATACAATTGAGTAAAACAAACAAACACATGGTACTTTAACCCACCCATCTCTGGTCACGCAAGGTATTGGGGCCAGTGCGGTTTAATTTGTTTATAAAAGATCTGGAACTGGGAGGTGAGCAGGGCAGTGGCCAGATTTGCATACAGAACCAAATTATTCAGGATGGTGAAACCCAGGGGTCATTTCCTGCCGGAGCGTGGCAGAGCAGCACTCCGGCAGTAAGGAGCCTGGGGCAGCCTCCCCCCCCCCCGCCACCATT